CAGGTGTGGCACTGAGGGTGAGTTGCCAGTCCTCAGTCAAGTGTGGTAGTATAAACCCAGGTGTGGCACTGAGGGTGAGTTGCCAGTCCTCAGTCAAGTGTGGTAGTATAAACCAGGTGTGGCACTGAGGGTGAGTTGCCAGTCTCAGTCAAGTGTGGTAGTATAAACCAGGTGTGGCACTGAGGGTGAGTTGCCAGTCCTCAGTCAAGTGTGGTAGTATAAACCAGGTGTGGCACTGAGGGTGAGTTGCCAGTCCTCAGTCAAGTGTGGTAGTATAAACCAGGTGTGGCACTGAGGGTGAGTTGCCAGTCCTCAGTCAAGTGTGGTAGTATAAACCAGGTGTGGCACTGAGGGTGAGTTGCCAGTCCTCAGTCAAGTGTGGTAGTATAAACCAGGTGTGGCACTGAGGGTGAGTTGCCAGTCCTCAGTCAAGTGTGGTAGTATAAACCAGGTGTGGCACTGAGGGTAAGTTGCCAGTCCTCAGTCAAGTGTGGTAGTATAAACCAGGTGTGGCACTGAGGGTGAGTTACCAGTCCTCAGTCAAGTGTGGTAGTATAAACCAGGTGTGGCACTGAGGGTGAGTTGCCAGTCCTCAGTCAAGTGTGGTAGTATAAACCTGGTGTGGCACTGAGGGTGAGTTGCCAGTCCTCAGTCAAGTGTGGTAGTATAACCAGGTGTGGCACTGAGGGTGAGTTGCCAGTCCTCAGTCAAGTGTGGTAGTATAAACCAGGTGTGGCACTGAGGGTGAGTTGCCAGTCCTCAGTCAAGTGTGGTAGTATAAACCAGGTGTGGCACTGAGGGTAGTTGCCAGTCCTCAGTCAAGTGTGGTAGTATAAACCAGGTGTGGCACTGAGGGTGAGTTGCCAGTCCTCAGTCAAGTGTGGTAGTATAAACCAGGTTGGCACTGAGGGTAGTTGCCAGTCCTCAGTCAAGTGTGGTAGTATAAACCAGGTGTGGCACTGAGGGTGAGTTGCCAGTCCTCAGTCAAGTGTGGTAGTATAAACCAGGTGTGGCACTGAGGGTGAGTTACCAGTCCTCAGTCAAGTGTGGTAGTATAAACCAGGTGTGGCACTGAGGGTGAGTTGCCAGTCCTCAGTCAAGTGTGGTAGTATAAACCAGGTGTGGCACTGAGGGTGAGTTGCCAGTCCTCAGTCAAGTGTGGTAGTATAAACCAGGTGTGGCACTGAGGGTGAGTTGCCAGTCCTCAGTCAAGTGTGGTAGTATAAACCAGGTGGGGCACTGAGGGTGAGTTGCCAGTCCTCAGTCAAGTGTGGTAGTATAAACCAGGTGTGGCACTGAGGGTAAGTTGCCATTTCCTCAGTCAAGTGTGGTAGTATAAACCAGGTGTGGCACTGAGGGTGAGTTGCCAGTCCTCAGTCAAGTGTGGTAGTATAAACCAGGTGTGGCACTGAGGGTAGTTCCAGTCCTCAGTCAAGTGTGGTAGTATAAACCAGGTGTGGCACTGAGGGTGAGTTACCAGTCCTCAGTCAAGTGTGGTAGTATAAACCTGGTGTGGCACTGAGGGTGAGTTGCCAGTCCTCAGTCAAGTGTGGTAGTATAAACCGGGTTTGTGGCACTGAGGGTGAGTTCCAGTCCTCAGTCAAGTGTGGTAGTATAAACCAGGTTGGCACTGAGGGTGAAGTTGCCAGTCCTCAGTCAAGTGTGGTAGTATAAACCAGGTGTGGCACTGAGGGTGAGTTGCCAGTCCTCAGTCAAGTGTGGTAGTATAAACCAGGTGTGGCACTGAGGGTGAGTTGCCAGTCCTCAGTCAAGTGTGGTAGTATAAACCAGGTGTGGCACTGAGGGTGAGTTACCAGTCCTCAGTCAAGTGTGGTAGTATAAACCAGGTGTGGCACTGAGGGTGAGTTGCCAGTCCTCAGTCAAGTGTGGTAGTATAAACCAGGTGTGGCACTGAGGGTGAGTTGCCAGTCCTCAGTCAAGTGTGGTAGTATAAACCAGGTGTGGCACTGAGGGTGAGTTGCCAGTCCTCAGTCAAGTGTGGTAGTATAAACCAGGTGTGGCACTGAGGGTGAGTTGCCAGTCCTCAGTCAAGTGTGGTAGTATAAACCAGGTGTGGCACTGAGGGTGAGTTGCCAGTCCTCAGTCAAGTGTGGTAGTATAAACCAGGTGTGGCACTGAGAGGTTGAAGTTTACCGGGTCCTGAATTTCAGTCCAGTGTGGTAGTATAAACCAGGTGTGGCACTGAGGGTGAGTTGCCAGTCCTCAGTCAAGTGTGGTAGTATAAACCAGGTGTGGCACTGAGGGTGAGTTGCCAGTCCTCAGTCAAGTGTGGTAGTATAAACCAGGTGTGGCACTGAGGGTGAGTTGCCAGTCCTCAGTCAAGTGTGGTAGTATAAACCAGGTGTGGCACTGAGGGTAAGTTGCCAGTCCTCAGTCAAAGTCACATTCTTAACTTGCTGAGACATAGTAAAAAAAAAAAACATAACATCAATGCGTTGTGGAATTTTGGAGAACATTTATTTATCGCTTCAGCTTCATTAACTGTCAAGTCTATCTTTTGCATAATTGAAATCCTCAGTTCGCTTTATTCTTGCATTTTCATGGTCACTTTTAATTAATGGTTGGCTTAGTATATTTAGCAGTCCCTCATTTAGCTTGTAAATGGTATAACGTCACTCGTGGCGAAGCTTCGCCTTTAATAAATGTCCTGAAGTATACACAAGCGGCCTTTTCCGAAGTCCCTCATTTATCACGATAAATTCTCTCTTCCATGTAATTTTAAACAGTAGTCTGAATCCATTTTTTTAAGAACGAATTTTCGGTCTGTTTGATATTATCAATAAAGTTTTCAATATTATTTTATTTTAATTTCTGAAGTTTTTAATGCTGGCTTTCACCTGTATTGCCAGTCGTCCTCCTTTCATTTTTATTGTTTGTTTTCTGTACTGATAACTTCCTTCCAGTACTACCTCATTTAGAATACATTTCCACTAGCCTGGCTACACTTAAATATCATGTCAAATTTCTCATTTATAACGTCTTATAGCCTTGACTTTATAAATTTGTCTCTATTTTTTTTCTCTTAATATATTCTTGTCTTTGCTTTAAAAAAACGAGCTTTTTCATGGATGTCTTTGACTCGGTTATTCGGAAGAAAATCTGTTCTTCCTTATTTCTTTCATCACTTAGGATTTTAGCAGTTTCCATAGAATCTTGGATTTTCATTTTCTCCTTCAATATGTCATGTTTAGTTAACATTAAATTGTAGCATTACTTTATATCTGTGATTCTCATTAGTTTAACCTGAGTGTTACCTGCACCTGCCTCTCATTATGTTTCTAATATTTTATACTCTGTGACGTGGCGAACGAAAGAGTAATTCTGAGAACAAGTCGCCAAGTCGCCAAGCACTTCTAATGAGTAGCTAACATCTTAAAGCAACAAATATATCCCTACAACTACACATAATTTTTACAGCAGTGTTGAAGCGAACAATGAAGGGTGACTGCAGTGTCTGGCTGTAAAGTTGTTCTCTCTTGCTCTGGTAAGACAAATATTATGATACAGTGAGCATAAAACTCACAGTGAAACGGTCGAACTGAATACTAACAACGTGGGAGTCTTGGTCACTTGGATCAAACTCCCACTATTCCTCGGTTCTCTCTCCCGGAGCCATGGGACTGCCCCCCCCCCTCACAAATTTCCAAGTTTCATAAATGGATGATTTCAGTTTGTATTTCTTAAAACTAACTTACATTTCTCACATTAGTATCTAATTATATTATTAATTAGTCCTCACAGATAACGTATCATGTAATAACTGTCTGCTATGTTATACTCGCTTAAATCCTCCTGGAACACCTGTGTCAACACTTGGAGAAGTTGGCAATCCAAGAGTTTTTGCGCAAACCTTTGTTCAAATCTCTTTCATCTCTTTATTTCGTCCATTTTTGAGGTTTGTTGTCAGTCCTTCACAACACACAACAAAGTTTCCTCCATGACTCTGTTTCAGTTTTTTTATAAATAATCCTGTAGTTATAGATTTGCTTCTGTTTGTCCTTCATTTTCTTATATTTTTTATTACTTTTCCTTGATAAATTTCACACTTGCTGACTTAGAGATACTTCAGTCACATTCACATACATTTTTTCCTCAGACACACTCCTTGTTTTCCACAAAAATTGTCCTGAAAACTCTCCATATCTAGACAGCAACATCTGTGTGTGTACTCACTTATTTGTACTCACCTAATTGTGGTTGCAGGGTTCGAGACTCAGCTCCTGGCCCCGCCTCTTCACTGACCGCTACTGGGTCCTCCCTCTCCCTGCTCCATGAGCTTTATCATACCTCGTCTTAAAACTATGTATGGTTCCTGCCTCCACTACATCACTTGCCAGACTATTCCACTTCATAACTCGGTGGCTGAAAAAATACTTCCTAGCATCCCTTTGACTCATCTGAGTCTTCAACTTCCAATTGTGACACCTTGTTTCTGTGTCCCCTCTCTGGAACATCCTGTCTCTGTCCACCTTGTCTATTCCACGCATTATTTTGTATGTCGTTATCATGTCTACCCTGACCGTCCTGTCCTCCAGTGTTGTCAGACCGATTTCCCTTAACCTCTTTGTGTGTGTGTGTGTGTGTGTGTGTGTGTGTGTGTGTGTGTGTGTGTGTGGTGTGTTGTTGTGTGTATTGTGTGTTGTGTTGTATGTGTATGTGTGTGTGTGTGTATGTGTGTGTATGTGTTGATGTGTGTGTGGTGTGTGTGTGTGTTGGTGTGTGGCTGTGTGTGTGTGTGTGTGTGTGTGTACACAGTATATCTCTAATTTACTTAAATAACAAGTATATGTTCTAAGTTCAAATTAATTTTTAATGATGTGAATGGGTGGCCTTGATCCCCATGCTGCCTTCCTGAGTGCCAACTGCAAGGTATGGAACGGCACTGCTTGAGAATTGGTGGGTAAGGGGGGTAATGGGCGTGTGGGTGGCCAGAGGGGCGGCCAGGGGGGGGGGGCGGCCAGGGGCGGGCCGAGACTCACCAAGGTGCCAGGAGTGCTGCCCAGGAGGTAGGGGCTCGACAGCTGTAAAATTATGCCAAAATTTAGGATATTCAAAAGTCATCACACCAGCAAGAACAAAAACGATTCGGCCCTCCAGCTTGTGTTGTGCTACTGACAACGGTCGAAAGTCTGACCGGGAAGGAGCTACTTAGCTAAGTAATACAAGCGAAACAGAACCAGAGCTTTATCAGGCGTCGTCTCGTCTTATACAGTGTTTAAAGTCTAGTCGTTCAGACTTGATGTAGTACTATTTACGGCGACAGAAAGTCTAACAGAGTCTGGCACTGCTGCGCGAGTTTGACGTTATTAGTTTGCCAGGTGAAGCTTGCTGCAGTGTGGAAGCTGGAGCAGCAAGCTGGAGCAGCAAGCTGGAGCAGCAAGCTGGTACAGCAAGCTGGAGCAGCAAGCTGGTGCAGCAAGCTGGAGCAGCAAGCTGGTGCAGCAAGCTGGAGCAGCAAGCTGGTGCAGCAAGCTGGTGCAGCAAGCTGGAGCAGCAAGCTGGTACAGCAAGCTGGTGCAGCAAGCTGGAGCAGCAAGCTGGTGCAGCAAGCTGGTGCAGCAAGCTGATGCAGCAAGCTGGAGCAGCAAGCTGGTGCAGCAAGCTGGAGCAGCAAGCTGGTGCAGCAAGCTGGAGCAGCAAGCTGGTGCAGCAAGCTGGAGAGCCGTGGCCACGTTTTCAAGACAGAACTGTTTGATCATACTCTTCACATTTCATGGAACTATAGCATATAACATTCCTAATGAAGATAGCAAGTAACAGTTGGTGCAACGTCTAAGATGAACCACGCACGTATGAACAAACTTCTCTCTAACATGCAAGAAATAGATTTTTAATGAAATAAAAGCTGAGATTTCTAAGTAAATACTAGATAATGTGGGACCGTAAATAATATAATGTAAGCGAATATTAAACAATGACAGTGTATAAGTTTTTTCATGATAATGAAAAAAAGTAATTATAATTAAAAAAAAAAAGTTCCACATAAGAATCATGCAGTTTTAGAAGCAGAGTGGGACAGTGGAGGTAATGTCATGCAATCTCAAAGTCGAGCGATGAGAAGTCTAAAGGAATTTTTTTCTGTGAAGCAAGCTATGCAAAGCTTCATGAAGTATGCATCAACATGAGAAAATGTTTACGCTATTTTTTTAAGGATGAATAGCTTCAGCAAGGGAAGCGCTAAATCCGTGATAGTAGTTCAAGACAAACTTTTTGATATTTCTACAGTCAGGACTGTAGTGAATACATTCAATGAAGAATCAATGTAACAGTGGTGACGAGCAAGTGAATCAAGGCAGAGAACAAATATGAGGAAGTCAATAAATTATGAATATGTAATGAACATTAAGTGAGGGATTCAAGTATCTAGAGTATATTTGGTCGTAACATAATTATTATAATGTAGAGCAAAAAAAGTGAAGGTAATAATTTGCGTAATGATATAATAATATAAACGTATATTATTAAAAATGTGATAGAATGGTCAGAAAGAGTGGTGAAGTGGAGGGTGAAGTGGAGGGTGAATGGAAGGTTGAAGTGGAGGGTGGAAAGTGGAGGGTGAAGTGGAGGTGTGGTAGTGGAGGGTGAAGTGGAGGAGTGATAGTGGAAGGTGAAGTGGAGGTGTGAAGTGTGAAGGTGCGAGTGGAGGGTGAAGTGGAGGGTGGAGTGGAGGAGTGAGTGGAGGGTGGAGTGGAAGGTGAAGTGGAGGGTGAAGTAAATGGGTGGAGTGGAGGGTGAAAAGTGGAGGATGGAGTCCGAAGGTGAATGAGGTGAAGTGGAGGGTGAAGTTGAGGGTGAATGGAGAGAGTGAATTGGAAGGTGAAGTGGAGGTGGAAGTGGAGGTGAATGAAGTGGTAGGGTGAAGTGGTGAAGGGTGAAGTGGAAGGTGAAGTGGAAGGTGAAGTGAGGGTGGAGTGGAGGGTGAAGTGGAGGGTGGAGTGGAAGGTGAAGTGGAGGGTGGAGTGGAAGGTGAAGTGGAGGGTGAAGTGGAGGGTGAAGTTGAGGGTGAAGTGGAAGGTGAAGTGGAGGGTGGAGTGGAGGTGAAGTGGAGGGTGGAGTGGAAGGTGAAGTGGAGGGTGAAGTGGAAGGTGAAGTGGAGGGTGAAGTGGAGGGTGAAGTGGAGAGGTGGAGTGGAAGGTGAAGTGGAGGGTGAAGTGGAGGGTGAAGTGGAGGTGAGTTGAGGGTCGAAGTGGAAGGTGGAGGGCGAGTGGAGGGTGAAGTGGAGGGTGGAGTGGAAGGTGAAGTGGAAGGTGAAGTGGAGGGTGAAGTGGAGGGTGAAGTGGAAGGTGAAGTGGAGGGTGGAGTGGAAGGTGAAGTGGAAGGTGAAGTGGAGGGTGAAGTGGAGGGTGAAGTGGATGAGGGCAAAGTGGAGGGTTGAAGTGGAGGGTGAAGTGGAGGGTGATGAAGTGGAAGGTGAAGTGGAGGGTGAAGTGGAGGGTGAAGTGGAAGGTGAATGGAAGGGTGAGAGTGGAAGGTGAAGTGGAGGTGAAGTGGAGGTGAAGTGGAAGGGCGAAGTGAGGGTGAAGCGGAGGGTGAAGTGGAAGGTGAAGTGGAGGGTGGAGGGCGAAGTGGAAGGTGAAGTGGAGGGCGAAGCGGAGGGTGAAGTGGAAAGGTGAAGTGGAGGTGAGGCTGAAGTGAGGGTGAAGTGGAAGGTGAAGTGGAGGGTGGAGGCGAAGTGGAAGGTGAAGTGGAGGGCTGAAGCGGAGGGTGAAGTGGAGGGTGAAGTGGAGGGTAAAGTGGAGGGCGAAGTTGAGGGCGAAGTTGAGGTGAAGTGGAAGGTGAAGTGGAAGGTGAAGTGGAGGGTGAAGTGGAGGGTGAAGTGGAAGGTGGAGGGAGGTGGATGGAAGCGATGGAGGGTGAAGTGGAGGGTGAGCGGAGGGTGAAGTGGAGGGCGAAGCTGAGGGTGAAGTGAGGGGGAGGTCGATGTGGAAGGTGAAGTGGAGGGGGGAGGTAAGGGAAGGTGAAGTGGAGGGCGAAGTGGAGGGTGAAGTGGAAGGTGAAGCGGAGGGTGGAGGGCGAAGTGGAGGTGAAGTGGAAGGCGAAGCGGAGGGTGAAGTGAGGTGAAGTGGAGAAGTGGAGGGCGAAGCTGAGGGTGAAGTAAGCGGAGGAAGGTGAGTGGAGGCGAAGCGGAGGGTGAAGTGGAGGGTGAGTAAGAGGTCGAAGAGAAGTGGAGGGTGAAGGGTAGTGGAGGGCGAAGCTGAGGGTGAAGGAGTGAGTGGAGGTGGAAGGGTGAAGTGGAGGGAGTGGAGGGCGAAGTGGAGGGTGAGGGAATGAAGTGGAGGGCGAGCGGAGGGTGAAGTGGAAGGTGAAGTGGGAGGGCGGTGAAGTAGTAGAGGTGAAGTGGAGGGTGAAGCGAGTGGAGGGCGAAGCTGAGGGTGAAGTGGAGGAGTGAAGTGGAGGAGTGGAGGGCGAAGCGGGAAGTGGAAGGGTGAAGTGAGGTGAGGGTGAAGCGGAGGGTGAAGTGGAGGGTGAAGTGGAGAGGTGAAGTGGAGTGAGTGGAGGGCGAAGTAGGGGGTGGAAGTGGAGGGTGGAGGGTGAAGTGGAGGGCGAAGTGGAGGGTGAAGTGGAGGTTGAAGTGGAGGCGAAGCTGAGGGTGAAGTGGAGGTGAAGTGGAGGGCGAAGCGGAGGGTGAAGTGGAGGGTGAAGTGGAGGTGAAGTGGAGGGTGAAAGTGGGGGGTGAAGAGGGGAAGTGGAGGGTGAAGTGGAAGGGCGAAGTGGAGGGTGGAAGTTGAGGGTGAAGTGGAGGTGAAGTGGAGGGTGAAGTGGAAGGTGAGTGGAGGTGAAGCGGAGGGTGAAGTGGAGGGTAGTGGAGGGAGTGAGGGTGAAGTGGAGGGTGAAGAGGTGAAGTGAGGGGTAGCGGAAGGTGAAGTGGAGGGTGAAGTGGGAGGGTGAAGTGGAAGGGTGAAGTGGAAGGGTGAAGTGGAAGGGTGGAGGGTCGAAGTGGAGGGTGAAGTGGAAGGTGAAGTGGAGGGTGAGTGGAGGGTGAGTGGGTGTAAGTGGAGGGTGAAGCTGAGGGTGAAGCGGAGGGTGGAGGGCGAAGTCGGAGGGTGAAGTGAAGGGAGTGAAGTGGAGGGGAGGTGAAGTGGAGGGCGAAGCTGGAGGTGCAAGCGGAGGGTGAGTGGAGGGAAGTGGAGGGTGAAGTGGAAGGTGAATGAAGTGAAGTGGAGGTGAAGTGGAGCGAAGGGGGGTGAAGTGGAGGTGGAGGGGAAGTGAGGGTGAAGTGGAAGTGAGTGAGGTGAGTGAGGCAGTGAGGGGATGGAGTGATGGAGTGAAGTGGAGGGTGAGGAGGAAGTGAAAGGTGAAGTGGAGGGCGAAGCGGAGGGTGAAGTGGAGAGTGAAGTGGAGGGGCGAAGCTGAGGGTGAAGTGGAGGGTGAAGTGGAGGGCGAAGTGCAAGGCGAAGTGGAGGGCGAAGTTGAGTGGTGAAGTGGAAGGTGAAGTGGAGGGTGAAGTGGAAGGTGAAGTGGAGGGTGAAGTGGAAGGTGGAGGGTGAAGCAGAGGGTGAAGCGGAGGGTGTGAGCGGAGGGTGTAGCAGAGGGCGAAGTGAGGGTGAAGTGGAGGGTGAAGTGGAGGGTGAAGTGGAGGGTGAAGTGGAAGGTGAAGTGGAGGGTGAAGTGGAGGGTGGAGGGCGAAGTGGAGGGTGAAGCGGAAGGTGAAGTGAAGGGTGGAGGGTGAAGTGGAGGGTGAAGTGGAGGGCGAAGCTGAGGGTGAAGCGAAGGGTGGAGGGCGAAGTGGAGGGTGAAGTGAAGGGTGAAGTGGAAGGTGAAGTGGAGGGTGGAGGGCGAAGTGGAGGGTGAAGTGGAGGGCGAAGCTGAGGGTGAAGCGGAGGGTGAAGTGGAAGGTGAAGTGGAGGGTGGAGGGCGAAGTGGAAGGTGAAGTGGAGGGCGAAGCGGAGGGTGAAGTGGAAGGTGAAGTGGAGGGCGAAGTAGAGTGAAGTGGAAGGTGAAGTGGAGGGTGAAGTGGAGGGTGGAAGGTGAAGTGGAGGGTGAAGTGGAGGGTGGAGGGCGAAGTGGAAGGTGAAGTGGA